GATGCTTTTTGTAGTCCATCCCCACCACAAACATCAAGAACCACAACTTACTTTTAAGAATAGTTGTGTGGTTGGTTAGCTGGTCAAAACCTATGACTATTATAAGCAGAAAATTTTTTTGTAGATTGGAAATACTTTAAAGAATACTTAGAGAAATAGTGAGATGTAAAAAACAATCTATTTTGCTTGGATAACTATTGAAGATAGAACGTTATTTAGAATAAGTTTAAACATATAAGAACAATGTAAAAAACAATCTATTTTGCTTGGATATCTATTGAAGATAGAACGTTATTTAGAATAAGTTTAAACATATAAGAACAATGGTTGAAAGATGTGTTACCTGTGGAAATTTATTAATGTAAAGGGGAAAGAGAGGAAAAGTATAAGATTTGGGCTGGAGGTTGGAGCACTGCGGGAAGTCAGAAAGGGGGGGTTATTAGGAGAAAGGGATATATGACAGTTTGATGTAAGGTGATGTACAGTTTGATTTAATGATATATCCTAATAAAATTGTTTTTAAAAAAACCTATGACTATTATAATTCATATAATATAATTGATTTGACTACAGTTCAACTATAATATAATTGATTTGACTATAAGCACTGAGTAGAATGACCTTCCCCCAACCCTTCCCTCCCCTAGGCTCCATTTCCAAAATCTCTAGGAATTTCCCAACCCAGAGTTGGCAACCCTAGGCAGAAGCCCACCCCCCACTCCAGCTTTCTGACCTGGAACCAAGGCTGGCCCTGGGAAGAGAATGCCCAGGAGTCCCCCTTCTCTCTTCTACCCACCATCAGGCCCCCACTGATACCTCCTTTCCCACCCACTTGCCTAAGTAGTCTTCTTCGGCCCATGAGGCCCTCTCAGAAGCTCCTTCTCCTATGGCACTGGGAAAAACATGGCTGGGCAGTGCCACCACTGTCATGGCCAAAAACACCACCACTCTGCACTACTCATATACCCTTCCCCAGTGATGCTGGGTGATGCATGTCAAGGAACTTTAAAGCCAAGGTCCTATTTCAGGCAGGTCAAGCAAGACCGAACCAAAAAAGCTGAAGTATGAGTCCACACACGCTATGGTATCACAGCCACCAGCCCTTACCTAGCCAGCCAGAGACCAAGGGACAAAGCCTCTAGTCCCCCTGGTTCTAAGATGAAGAAAGTCACCCTTGCAAGGTAGAACACTTACAAGGGAAGTTCCAGAAAACAATTAATTTGGTAGCTGTAGCTAACGGGCTAAAGTACTGGATTCAGATTGAAGCCTCCTGAGTTAAAGAATACCACAAAATATAAGGGTTTTATTATAAAACTGTGCAGGAATATTCAATAAAAGAGCAGTTGAAAGTGAGGATATAAATAATAAAGCTATAAGTCTAAACTAAGCACATATACAAGCATTGGTTTGAGATCCAGATATTACCTATAAGACAGTCCAATAGGGTTTCAAATCCAAGACAAGGTTTCCAGTCAGTATGACCCACACAGAATCAGGAAGTGTCCCAAAGTCAGATGTGATCCAAACACAGAGTAAAACTAGAATGAAGGATCTTCCCTATATGCTCAACAACCTGCATTACCGGATTCTAGTTAACCAATCAAATGTATAGCAAAAGATGTAACTTGATCAACCAGGTATGTTGCTAACCATGTAATTCAACCAATCAGATGAGTTTGCCAATTAGATCAAATGCCTTGCAGCTGCATTGGGTCCAATTAAGTAAACACCTCCCACCCATGAGCTCAGGTGCTAATGAGATGGAATATACTCTGCTAGACTCTTGTGGCCTTGAAACTGCCAGGCCTAATGGCCTAATGGTATGACCAGCACCCTGGTTGCCTCTCACCTCCCTTATCTGAGTCTTTGAAGCTACAAGCAGCTTGACCTAAACTTTCAGAGAGAGAAACTTCCATCTTTTCTCTGTTTGAATTGAACAAGAAAACTGCTTCAAGTAAGGTTGCCAGGTCCGTCAGACCAGCTGGCAGGGGATTGGTGTTGAACTTACTGGGAGCAGGGAGGGAAGAAGCTGGACAGAAATAAACACAAGGTGCCCACATCACTCTGAAGTGACGTGGGCACATCAGGAGCAATGCTTTGGTTTGTGGGGAAAACCTCTACGGTAGAATTAGCTTCTACCATAGAGTTTTGCCCAAAAACCAGAGCGTTCCCCCCCCAACATCACTGACATGCCTATGTCACTTCCAGATGTTGTATAGAGTTTTGCCCAAAAAACAGAGCGTTGCCCCCCCCTAACATCAGTGACGTGCCTATGTCACTTCCGGGGGTTGTAGGCTGTCATATTTATTTCTGGCTTCTTACCAGCTGGCCGGTGGCAGAGAGGAGTGCCCAAAACCAGGGAAACCCCATCCATACTGGGGGGGAAGGGTCTGGCATGCCTAGCTTAAAGGGACCAGTTTCTTGACAGTGCATGTGCCAGGGAACATAGGTGTTGACGCACTAAGCAGATGGGGGGAAGGGCACACAGGCAACTGTCCCCAAGCAGATGGGGGGAAGGGCACACAGGCAAGTGGCAGGGCAGGCACATGGGCAAGAGGTCAGTGGCAGTGAGCCCCACCATAAGCCCTAGACCCTCGCTATTCTTGTGCTGGCCTTGCCTGAAACAGTCCTGAGGAGTTACTATTTGCCTCTTTAGGGGGTTCGCATGTAAGTTTCCCCAAGGGGCACAGTTCCTTGGGCCCAGAGGGGAGGCTTAGGTACCCTGTCCCCAAACACCATGGTCCTGGTCCAGATTGGTTCTACATATGCCTGGGAATTAAGTTTCCCAGCATGAAACTTCCAATGCATATATGATTGTGTGGACCCAGGCAGGATAGGAAGAAAACATAACAAGAAGTTGGGCCCTTAGATTCACTACACTGCTGGTATTCAACTTGAATCTAGACTACTATAAAGGAAGTCCACTCGGGGCTGCTGTCAAGGACTGCTTGGAAACTACAATTATTGAATAGAGTGGTGTGCATCTTGCCCTTTTATAACATGGACCCTTCTTTATGATAGATAATCTCTTCTGCCTTGTTTCTCAGTCTAGGCTATTGAGATGTTGCCTTCAATGATAAACTCTACAGCACGTAGAAAATATTTCAGTGATTTCCAGCAAATTATTGCTGATCTTTCCAGCAAAAAAAGAGATCTTACTGTGTGTAGATGCTTATGAGCATTTCTTTCCCGAAACCAACATCTTGAACCAGAACCAAAAAACTACTGCAACAGTGTGCATTCAGCCACATTATACTATCTGGATTCAGAATTCTACTCCATAACTCTGGAAGGCGAGTAGTATAATGTGGGTGAATGTGCATCAGCACAGTGGTTTTGTAATTCATGCAGCTTTATAGTCAACATGTGTCAGCAGTTTCAGTACATACTTGGTTACCATCCAGTCCTAATTTGCAGCACTGGCAGAGGTCAAATGGTTGATCACCAAGTGTGCACAGCCTCTATGCCAGCATTTTGCATGGGAAGAATAGCACCTTTTGTGAGGTATCCACTTCTTTCAAGCCCAGTGATGTATTATTGAACCATTCTGAGCCATGGGGAAGTGCCATGCCAACACAACTTGCAAGACGCACCTTGCAATAACCATCTACAGTGTTCATGAAGGCCATTCATCCTCCTGTTTTCCTAAAGCAGCAATGTTCAAACTTCACCCAAAGACACCCTCCTAATCTTGCACCTCCTCCTTCACCACTGTCAGCCATACACCAGACAGCCTCTTTTCAAAGTATGTAGCAAACTATGTGTATCTCATGGAGACCTTCATCATCTGGTATCTTCAGAACAATACACTGGCAACCACATTAGCCATGGTTTAAAAGCAATCCTGTGGTAAAGTTCCAGTAATGGAACAGAGGGGTGATTTTTGCTCATTTCCCTTTCTAACTGCAAACCTAATGCTGCTCCTAGAGGTTCCCTGTAATTCCAGATCTCCAGACCACACCTGGAGGTTGGCAAGCCTACTGTAAAAACAGCTGGAAGAACTTTCAGAGCTGCTCATAGCATTAGGCAAAGACCAGTCTCATAAAACCTGGATTTCTTCACAATAAACCCTATGAATTCAGTAATGCTTTTAAATGAACAGATCTCCAGACCACACCTGGAGGTTGGCAAGCCTACTGTAAAAACAGCTGGAAGAACTTTCAGAGCTGCTCATAGCATTAGGCAAAGACCAGTCTCATAAAACCTGGATTTCTTCACAATAAACCCTATGAATTCAGTAATGCTTTTAAATGAATTTGTGTTTGATTAATTACTAGGAATAAGGCCCGTTGTGGAAATAAATACGATGAGCTCTAGAAAGGGTCTCTGGGAGAGTGCCAAGGCCTTAGGCACTCAGCGTCAATGTGCTGTGGCGACCTCAGCAAGGTATAATGACACAGAGTCCACCATTTTCTCCAGAGGAACTGATCTCTGCTACCTGAAAGGCAGTTATAATTTTCAGTGATCTCCAGCTCTCACCTGGAGATTGGCAACAATTGTTACCCAGGAAGAAATGGCTGGTTGGGAGGGTGGAGTCTATGGCACTGTACCTGTCTGAGGTCCCACCACTCCTCAAACCTCACCCTCTCCAGGTTCCATCCCTCAGATCTCCAGGAATCTCCCACCTGGAGTTGGCAACTCTATCTCCTTCCCAGCTAATCATTAACCTACTTTTATTTCCCCCTCTCTCTTCAGCTTTCCATTTCCCCCACACACACCTGCAGCCTCTTCCGTGCTCTGAAGCCCTGACTGCCACAAAGTCCACCCTTTTCTCCAGGGGAACTGATCTCTGCTGTCTGGAAAGCAGTTGTAATGCTGAGTGATCTCCAGCGCTCACCTGGAGATTGGTAACAACGGTTTCCCAGGAGGAAAAGTAGTCTTTCTCTTCAATGGGGACCAAAGCAGCTTACATCATTCTCCTCTCCCCCTTTTGACTTGCACAACAACCCTGTGAGGTAGGTTAGGCTGAAAGTCTGTGACTGGTCCAAAATCACCCACTCAGCTTCTACAGCAAGAACCTGGATCTAGCAGACCCTGCTCTGAAGCACTGACTGCTACGGCCAGGGCAGCCAACCTCCAGGTGGAACCTGAAGATCACCAGGTCACAACTGAACTCCAGACAATAGATCTCTCCCCCCCGGAGAAAATAACTGCTGTAGAAGGTGGGCTGTATGGCATTCTGTTCAGCTGAGGCCTCTCCCCTCCCCAAACCCTGACTTCCATAGACTCTACCAGAAAATCTCCAGGAATCTCCCTACCTGGAGCTGGCAAACCTAGTCAGGACTGGCCCCAATGAGTTCCTCACAAAGGCCTGCAAAGGGTTTCCTTTGTCTGAACCAAGCTTGGTTGCCTATCATGGTGAAATGGGCTCCAGTTTACAACTCAGCTCTTTGCCTCCCACCCTCGTTCCGTAGACGTATCTCACTCCTTAAGTTCGCTGCCACCACTCACTGCCTTTTTAGAGGGACAGTGAGACCCCTCTGGCCAAATCTCCCTATTTGGAGATGGAGTCCCGAATCTTTGGGGGATCCCTGGAAAGTTGGCAACCCAAAGGTCTGGCCTTTCCTCGCTTCCCTGGGCTACCCCCTCCCTTTGGTATTGTGCAGAGCAGGGGAGACTATGTGGTCAGAGCACAACACACATTATTAGCCCAAATTAAAGAATTTGTTTAACTATTTACAGTTATGGAGCACACACACACTGTAGGAGTAAGCACACCCTATGAACCAACAGGGCATAAATCAACAGGGGTTAAACACAGTCCTCTTTCACTACACACAATACTCTCTACCTCTGGAGGCTGTGGCTCGGGAGGTTGAGGGCTCAGCTGTACTTCAGCCTCTCTCTCTTGCTCAAGAGAGCAGGGAAAGTTCCATTCATTCCCCAGTCCAGCCGGCTGTGGAGTGGCTGAATTTCTGCTGCTCCCAGGGATGAAGACTGCCTTGGGACAGTCCCTGTGGTTGCTTCATATCTAAAAAGCATACTTTGCGGTCTTTTTTGTGAACACCAAATGTATTTCTTCATATGAAGTGACATTTTTGTGATCCTAAGAAACAGGATGCATTGGTAGTTCTCCATCTAAGGTATTGTAGTAGAAGTCCCTGTGCTTCAGCTCATGTATCAAGATCTTCCCATGACTGGTCACCACAGCCTTCCTGTCAGCTACAGAGCTCATTAACGTCTGTTTACTTTGTTGAATGCCTGTGGGCTCAAGTTACAGTATTGCTGTCCAGCTCTGAGTTCCTGTCGCAGCCAGTTAGCACAGAGAATAGTATAGCCAGGGATTGCTTAAACCAGAGTATTTGACTGGGACTAATAGCCTTTCTCTGGTGACAACAACAAAAATAATTTTTTGTTCTCTGAAATGTTCACTTCTATTAGTGAGTGTACACTTTTATTAGTAATTACACAGTGCCAATGGCAAAATAGCCAGTCACAACAAAATGAAAGGTAATGTGCTTAGAGCCAGAGGCAGTGCCTTCAGTGTTAGTCTGTTCATCATGTTTTTAATTAAAAAAAACCAAAGGACCTCCTGGTAGCTTAGTGGCAGAGTACACAGTTTGCATACAGAAAGCCTCATGTTCAATCCCTGGCCTAACTAGAAAGAACTCTGTCTCTGGAGCTATAGTAGACAGCATTAGACCAGATGAACCAATAGTTTAGCATAAGGCAGCTTTTTTGTTAATATTACATGAAAATCCGGTGCAATAGGGGAGAAGAGTTTAGACTTCACAGCACTATTTTTCCAACTAGAGGGGGGGGGGGAAATAAAGGTGGTTTGGAAGAGGAGAAGAGTGTCTGGGAGGTGATCAACCAGTTTTTACTTTCTAAGGGCTGCATTAGTGTCTCCACACATCAGTGGCACACTGCTCAAATTGGAAAGGAATGAAGAGGTCAAATAGAGCTTTTAAACGGTTCTGTCACATGGCATACACACAGGGAAAGCAGAGTTGCCTGCTACCAGTGATGACACAGACATTGTCAGATGGCTGTCTTGGTGTTTACCCACAAATGCTAAGGAAGTAAATCTCTTTCTTCCCCCTCTAGCTTTCTTTCTCTCTTAAAAGAGGCCACAGGAGAAAATAACAATGGAAAGCAGGTGAAGGCTATCTTGGCTGGCAGACAAACTAGCTGGTACTTAACCACATGCTGCTACTTTGGTGTTTGTCTTGCCCTGCTTTTGAAACCTTCAGTGTAGGGAGATACCACCCTTCTACCGGTTACCAAGTACCTGCTGCTACTGAATCCCACTGAACTCAATTACTAAACTGCTTTAAATCTTGCTATTTCAGCTTGATTGAATTATAAGTGTAGTAGTCTGTACACATGAAGCTGCTTTATGCAGAGTCATAGGGCCAAGCATTATTTTGGGGGTCCAGTACCAGGGCTATTTGGGGGCAGGAACGCACAGGAACAGAGTTCCGGCTGGCTCCTGAGTTGGCCAGGCCCAGCAGGAACTCATTAGCATAATAGGGCACACCCAACAGCAGAAACTCATTAGGACTGGCTACATTCCGGGTATGTGGTCTAACATGCAAAGGGTTCCTGCTCCAAAAAAAGCCCTGGGTTTTGACAACAAACAAGGTAAACAGAATAAGAAGCAAAAGATGGGTGTGGCTGGATGACAACACTTCTGGTGACATGGGGGTGTGGCCTAATATGCTAATGTGCTGTGCTGTCAGGGTGTGGCCTACTATGCTAATGTGTTTCTGCTGTTGGGTGTGGCCTGTTATGTTAATGAGTTCCGGCTGGGCTTTTTCTACAAAAAAAAGCCCTAACTTGTAATATGCCCCCCACAACACACACACACACACACACACACACACACCCCGACACCACACCACAGTCCCTCATCCCATGCATACAATATCATGAACCATGAAAAATGTTTGTTTTAATTTTAAAATTACTGTTACATATTCTACATTTCTGAAAAATGCCTGTCTTTGGTATGTGTCTGTAAAGTGCCATCAAGTCACAGACAAATCATGGCAACCCCTCATGTGGTTTTTCCAGGCATGAGAGGAACATAGGCAGTTTGCCATTCCCTGCCTCTGCACAGAGACCTTGGACTTCAGTTGTGGTTTCTCGTCCAAGTACTGACCAGGGCTGACCCTGCTTAGGTTCTCAGATCTGATGATATCAGGCTCGCCTGGGCCATCCAAGTCAGGCTCTGTGTGTCTTACATTTGGTTAATAATAACCAGGTTGAGTGTCCTGGAAGTTTATTAACTATTTTGTATCTTTTTGGTCTCTAAAAATGGATTATTCTGTCAATGGCTTCATTTAAAAAAAAAAATTCTAATAGACCAACATGGCTGCAGACATTAAGCCAATAACCTTTACAACTTTATTCTTTTGGCCTTTTTCATTGCAAAATCATTAATTACCCACCCACCCCCGGTCAATTTCTCTTGCATGCTGTCAAAAAACAAGATGGCTATAGGTAGCTTAATCATTCTTGCCCCATCGTTGAATGCCTGCAGTTTTTAATGAGTGCTACCTTTTTAAATGGAGATACTGGACATGAACCTTGGGCCTTCTGCATATAGACGCTCTGTCACTGAGCTACACTTCCACCCAGTGTTCCCTCTAAGATGAGTTAGTGTGAGCTAGCTCACAGTTTCTTAGCCTCTGGCTCACACATTTTTGTCTTAGCTCAGGAAGGATGGCTCCAGAGCAAACTAATTTATGCAGTAGTCAAGTCGCTTTCTCACAACTTTAATACCAGTAGCTCACAAAGTAGAATTTTTGCTCACAAGACTCCACAGCTTACAGGGAGCATTGCTTCCACCTCCCACTGATAAGTTCCGTTGCCCGGGTACAATATGGAAATGACAAAGGGTAGCTCTAGGAATCACTGGAAACTCTATGGTTTCCATAGCTTCCAGCAATTCCCAGAGCTACTTTTCATCACTTCCAGGCTGTACTAGAAAGTGATGTTGTTGACAACATGCCCACCCCCCATACCCCTGCCCCCAAACCTCCCACTGGTTGTTAAACTCAGCCTGGCAATCCTACTCCCACCACTAGTTTGCATTTGCATGTGCTTCTGGAGTTGTCCAACTTGTTTCTTATTTGACTTGTTCTGAGTTTCTTGTGAAGTATTTTTTTAAAAAAATTAGTTGGAAGAAATATATCTAGATACCCTCTCAGCAATTTAACAATTTCTGTACAATAGTGCAATCATATCGGAAGTCCTTGGCTTAATCAATTAACTCAATTATTCTGATAAACTGTGTCAATAAGACCAGCAAAACTTAGTTGGATAAATGTACAGTCTACTTATCTGAAACCTGGGGCTTTCAAGCCCTTGGATTTTCAGAATTTCCTACTTCTTGTACTTCACCGTTTCCTCTATGACAGGATATCAATTTTATCACAGTTTCTTAGCCTCTGGCTCACACATTTTTGTCTTAGCTCAGGAAGGATGGCTCCAGAGCAAACTAATTTATGCAGTAGTCAAGTCGCTTTCTCACAACTTTAATACCAGTAGCTCACAAAATAGAATTTTTGCTCACAAGGCTCCGCAGCTTAGAGGGAGCATTGCTTCCACCTCCCACTGATAAGCTCCGTTGCCCGGATACAATATGGAAATGACATAGGGTAGCTCTAGGAATCACTGGAAACTCTATGGTTTCCATAGTTTCCAGCAATTCCCAGAGCTACTTTTCATCACTTCCAGGCTGTACTAGAAAGTGATGTTGTTGACAACGTGCCCACCCCCCATACCTCTGCCCCCAAACCTCCCACTGGTTGCCAAACTCAGCCTGGCAATCCTATTCCCACCACTAGTTTGTATTTGCATGTGGTTCTGGAGTTGTCCAACTTGTTTCTTATTTGACTTGTTCTGAGTTTCTTGTGAAGTATTTTTTTAAAAAAATTAGTTGGAAGAAATATATCTAGATACCCTCTCAGCAATTTAACAATTTCTGTACAATAGTGCAATCATATCGGAAGTCCTTGGCTTAATCAATTAACTCAATTATTCTGATAAACTGTGTCAATAAGACCAGCAAAACTTAGTTGGATAAATGTACAGTCTACTTATCTGAAACCTGGACCTTTCAAGCCCTTGGATTTTCAGAATTTCCTACTTCTTGTACTTCACCGTTTCCTCTATGACAGGATATCAATTTTACCTGTTTTTCTTTGACAAGAGTATTATTTTAAACATAATAGTAACTGACAAGCCCTTGGGGATCCTGAGTGCACTACACCCAAAATATCCAGCTAGAAAGTCAGAGGAAAGGCAATCCAAATCATGTTCGCTGACCTGTGGGTTGGTCTATCATATCAGTCCAACAGTGGCAAAGCACAGGGAGAGCCTCAGCTGTCTACAAATTTAAGAGGAATTTCCTATACCAGGATGCTTAATGAATTCTCCATCACAGATTCCAGATAACATTTAAGAAAAATAATTAAGTACAGATGTCTGACAGACTGGACTGAAAACATAAACAGAGGGAACCAAAGATGCTGTAAATGCTGCTTCATATAAATCTAAACACTGGTCCGTCTTCTGATTACACCTATATATGATTTTCCAAGTTTGCCCCCCATCTGCGGATACCTAAATCTGCAGATTGGAGCCACACTTCCACTAAACAGATTTTTCAGCAAACTTGGGTGACCCCTGTCCTAAGTTTGCAGAAAAATCTGAAATCTTCAACAAAAAAGTTACATGGCAGGGTTTAAATCACTTTCAAATTAACATAGCTTTTTCTGCACAAATGCAAAGAACACACCTACCTCCTTGGTGGCGTTGGAGAGCAGCACTGGACCTGAGGACTGCAGCACAGCCAAGGAGCCACGGCAGGCAAGAAAGTGGGGAGAGATGGGATCAGTGTTCCCTCTAAGCTGAGTTAGTGTGAGCTAGCTTACAGTTTTTTAGCCTCCGGCTCACACATTTTTGTCTTAGCACAGGAAGGATGGCTCCAGAGCAAACTAATTGAGGCAGCAGCCAAATCACTTGCTCACAGTTTTAATGCCAGGAGCTCACCAAGTAGAATTTTGGCTCACAAGACTCCACAGCTTAGAGGGAGCATTGGATGGGATCCCTCCTCCTGCGAGTCTTGCAGCCCCCCCCAGATCAGAAGTAAGGAATTGGGTGAGGAGGGTGCAGGACTCCTCAGGAGGTGCATGAGTCCTCACTGCTCCCTCCTGAGCTGTCACCCAGGTACAGCCCAAAAACTATGGCAGGCTCAGCAGCAGTACAGGAGATTTTCTACATCGATGTTTTACTCTGCATTGGTATCCTTCTCTGGTCTAGCAATGCATCAGTTTATGACCATTCTAATCTATGTATATAGTTCCAGTTGGTCAGCTGTGTTGGTCTGAAGAAGTAAAACAAATTCTGAGTCAAGTGGCACCTTTAAGACCAACAAAGGTTTATTCAAGGTATGAGCTGTTGTGTGCATGCACACTTTTTCAAATACACTGGAATGGAAGGTAGAGTTCAAACTTATAGACAGAGGCTGAACAGCAAATTAACATGTAACATGCTGAAGATGTTTTAAGATATGCAAAGACAAAACTAAATGCCAAACTAAGTATGTATTGGACTGGAACATTCTAGGACTGTTTCTACCACAGACTGGCTGAGCTTGGAGCTCTAGAACAATAGCCCACCAGTACTCTGGAGGTGGCCAATGAGGAATTAATGGTTCTGACAATGGCCTTTCGTTGGTAATTGTTTGGGGAAGTGGGTGGAGTTGCTATTTAAACAGGACAGTTGCCCTGGCTTTTGGCTTTTTGTTCTTGCTGAATCACTAACAAAGGAGAGCTGATCACTAAGCTTGGGGCCAAACCATCCATGGAACCCAGTATTTAACACTAAGCTTATAAGGTCAACAGTTGTTTTGATTTAATTAAGGGGGGAAGACAGTAAATTAATATTGTTTGTCTTAAAGGTGCCACTGGACTCTAAATTTGTTCTACTGCTTTATGTATGTAACTGTCCCATGTCGATACAATATACAAAACCATCCTTGAGCCATAAATAGACAGAGACAGGCATACAATCTTGTTCGCATAATCCAGACCAGGGCTCCCTTTTATTAGTGCAATTTTGCAAGAATAAAACATACTAACTTAAAAACGTAAGTACCAAGACCCATAATCCAAATAGTACCCATGGGGCTTTAGAATAAACAATACAGTGCCTTACTTACTGCAACCAGGGCTCTAGTCGGGGGGGAGCTCTCAGGTACGGAGCTCCGGAAGAGAACCTCTAGGGGGCGGGGCGGTCACGTGGTGAAGCCCCGCCCCCTTCTTTACCCCGCCCTCTGCTTCGATCCTCATTCCGTTTGGGAATGAGGATGAAGCAGGAGGGTAAGTAGCCGGGCCTTCTGACACACTTCCGGTGATGTCAGGGGGTATGACCTTCTGTCACTTCCGGTGATGTCAGGGGGCGTGGCATATGCAAATAAGTTATGCTAATGAGTTATGCTAATGAGCTCCGGCAGCTCTTTTTCTACAACAAGACCCCTGACTGCAACCATTCGAAACAAAGGCATGGACCAAGTGTTATTGCACTGAATCTGCATGCACACAGACGAAGCAGAGTGAGCAGGAAGCAACCCGTCTGGCCCTTTTTAGCTTCCATACATAGAGGACTACTCAGTAGTTGGTTCCATGTATTGCATGTAGATGATCCCATGTTCCATCATTAGCAGTCCCAATAGAAAAGACCTTAGATACAGAGTTAGGGAAGACACTGCCTGATGCTTTGCAGAACTGCTGCCACCCAAGCTAGAGAAAATAATAGTGGACTAGATGACCTATGTTGTAATTCAGTGAAAAGCTGGTATATGTGTTCACAGGCTGTGTTGCAGAACACCCTCACTAACCTGAGAGTGCCAATCTTTGCCCAATGGCACACTGGTTTCTGGAGTCCACCTGACTCGCTGAGGGTTTCTTGGCTTCTCTTGGGATATCTGCACTGCCACCAGTTGGTCATTTAGAGTATATCCTACTAAGAGAGTCGGCACTCTGCATTGCTAGTGGCTGTGTTTCCTGCTTGCTCTGATTACCTACCACAGATGTGGCTTACCACGCTTGCTCACTCCATGGATTTAGCACTCTATTGACTAACTGGCTCTCTTCGCCTGGCTTAATATGGTTATGAAGAACAAACTTCCACTATTCAAAATAATAAGACATTTATTAAATATAAAATGTCTCTGTACAGCAACCAATTGAGCAAGTTCAGAAGTGAAGGTGCATATACACCGTCCTATGTCTCTCTTCTAGACATACCATGCTTGTTGTTATTCCAGGATAGGCTATTTACTCTTACAATCACAGCTTTCTATTAGTCATCCATTACCTTGGGTCTTAGTCCAGGCTGTTAGCTTCACATGGTAATGGTGGCCATCAAGATGGAGTACCTTCCTGTAAGTTATCACCCACTGGAATCAGTCCTGTGTCAAGAGAACTTACGTCCTCCATTTGCCTATCCCCCGCTTAGGTCAGTCCTTCTCTTCCTATTAGTTCCAGGGAGAGATGCACTCTAGCACTGGCATCCCGACATCTCTGTCCTCTCCTAGGTGTCACATTCCTGGCAGGGTGTGAGATGGTCCTTTGATTGTTCTCTGTTGGCTAGAAGTATTTGCATAATCAAACCTTATGTACTTGATGCTTGGGAGAACCATTGCTGGGATGTGGGATAATTGAGAACAAATAACTTATTTCCTGTTTCTTCTCCTTTTACCAACAGAGAAACTTCTTGGAAGGAATGTGGGGGGTTTGTAACCTAAAGTAGAGGGCATTTCTCCGCAGGCTGTCCAAGAATAAATGGCTAGTCTGCTTGTGCTGATGCAATGCTGACCATTATTCTTGATTAGCAGTGTGTTTGTCTAAAACTCAACTTTCATTGTTGACAGATAAATCTTTTTTTAAAAATGGAGAACAGCCAACCTACCGATCACCAACCTGAACAACAATCACAACTTCCTGTAGACAGCGTTGAAACGTTACCTACTCAGAATGGCTTGGAGAAACAAAGTGAAGAATCAACTCCTGTGCCTCCGTCCCCTGAGAATGCTGCACATTCTCTGCCCGAAATAAAGCTCTGCGATATATCTGAGGAGCTGAGCCGACAGCTGGAGGACATTATTAAAACCTACGGGTCAGCTGCCAGTCTGATTGAGGAAAGAAATACTAAAGGAACAGACAAACCTGAGAAGGGAGAATCATTTAATAATGATGATGGAGAATGTGAAGATGCCCATGATGAGGCGGAGAAAGAACAGGCAGCTTCTGGGGATGCCTCTGGATCAAAAGAATCCAGTATTCATAAGGATCAGAAACTAGAAAAGAAAATGCTGAAGGGACTAGGCAAGTAGCCGCTTGCGTATCTGGAATGCAGAACTGAACATGACTCATTGGCTATATCTGGAAAGGCACTGCTGTCAGGTCTCTGTAGCATTTCAGTGCTAGACACAGAAAGCACAAATTCTACTCTGGTCAGTGGTGAAAAATCATGACTGCTAATAACAGGCCTTTCTTTGATTAGCTAAATGCCTAAAAAACCAGAAGTCACTCAAGACTGAATCAGGGAATGCATGGCAATCCACCAGTCTATACATCTCAAAGTCAGATTCTTGTATGTGTTGCAAATGCAGCCGGCTGGTCTGGGATATACGAGTATTCTCCCATAGCAAAACTACAGCTGGAATAAATAGTTATTTCATCATTCTTCCAGCTTGTCCTTACGCAAAATATCAAATCAATAAGAAAAATGGTGCATGAATAGAACCTCTGCAACAATATAGAACAGCAACCTATTAGAAAAGGCACTACATAATCCCCCTGGGGTAAATTTTAACAAGAAATGTTGCATACAGACCAAAAACAAGCAATGAGCAACTTGAGGTTATTCTTAAAGTCTGTGTTCACAATTCAGGAGAATGAGGTGGCAGAACCCTTGGGTGGATGAATGGACTATACCACTTGGAAGGCTCATGCCGGAGGACTGTGGCTTAGTGGTAGAGTGTTTGCTTGGCATGCAGAAAGTGCCAGGTTCAATCCCTGGCATCTCCAGTTAAAAAGAGCAGGTAATAGGTGATGTGAAAGACTTCAATATGAGACACTGGAGAGCTGCTGCCAGTCTGAGTAGACAAAACCGACCTTAACAGACAAAGAGTCTGATTCGGCTATAAGACAGCTTCATGTATTCATGTGTGCTGACATTTCAAATGCTATCATACATTGGGGGGGGGGACTTCCTACACATAGAAAATCAGCTTAGCAAACAAAGAAAGAGGGTAGAAGTTCTCTCTGTGCTGTTCTAGTTTTCACTTTGCACTGAGTTGTTTTCCACAAAGGAACGATCAAAGCTGGAATCCTCCATTTGCATTCTATTCTACCACCTCAAGGTTCCGCCCCCTCATTACTACCATTCTCCTGCTTGTATGACCCGAGGCAGTTATACTCCAAAGTACAATCTGTAAGGTGACCTTTTCCCTCTTTCCTTTGTTAACTTGCTTCAGGGAAAGAAGCTACCCTGCTGATGCAACATCTGAATAAGCTGAATACACCAGAAGAGAAACTGGACCTTTTATTTAAGAAGTATGCTGAGCTGGTTAGTATAGCACTTATGGAAATCTGGGGGCAGAGTGGTGAAACCTTGGCTTGAAAAGACATGGTGGAGATCAATGCTGTATTATCAGATGTTACTGAAGTGACAGAAGAAGAAACTGTTATTTCTTTGGCCTGGTTCTGTCATTCACCCTCCTGTCTTGCCTCTTATGGAGACACCTGAAGGTCTTCGCATGGAGGAGAAGAGGAGGGTGGACAGTAGAAACTGCAGCTCGTCCTTCATAAGGCATCTTCATTGGAAAGCACTGAACTCTGGGTTGCCACCTAACAGCTTTAGCTGTAACTCTTGCACATATCTTCACACATAACAATATTGAGAGACTGATGTGCCTGTATACTCTGGGGTAGAGGTAGAGCACTCAATAACTAATGGGAAGAATGTTTCAGTGAATTCTGGAAAGTCTGAGACTTACATTTAAGCAACCCTCATGGTTGCTTAAATCTGACTGAGTCTGGATGGTAGAAAATGCCTTATTGGGGGGGAGGGGTGTTGTCCCTGCCTTGAAACTTGTGGTGGTGCACCCACTCCTGAAGAAATCTCCTCTGGATCCAGGAGGTTTGTATCACTGTTATCCAGTCTCATATGTGCTATTTTTAGCAAGGTGTCAGACAAGTGGTGGTGGAACAGCTGCAAGGATTCCTGGATAAAACAGTTCCTTTCCAATCTGGATGCAGGCCTCCTTACAGGACTGAAACAGCCTTGGTTGCCCTGGTAGATGGCCTGCACCAGGAGAGTGATGGGGATGGGGAAATGCAACCCAGTTAATCCTTCTAAATATCTCAGGCCCCTGCCACACGAGGGAAGAAAGGGACAGCCAAAGTGCGGCTTTTAAAAGCCGCACCTAAATAGGCACGCGGCGGCGGGATCATACAGATCCCGTGAGCCGCTGTGCATTTGCTCCCCGGCACGATCAGATGCCGGGGAGACGGGAAGAAAGCCACGGGAGTCTGTTGAACTGCACATGTCGGAGCATGCGCAGTTCGGCAAGGAGCCGGGGATGCACCAGTGAAAGAACGTGCCGGCGATCCCACGGCCGGCGTTGCTGTGGCTGTTCGAAAAGAACCACCTCGGTAGGTGGTTCTTTTTTGGAGCGGATTATCGCTGGAAGGGCCGGATCGGGGACGGACACGGTATGCTTCCCAGATGTTGCAGTGGGATCGCGCCCGTTTGCTCCACCCCCGTTCCATCCCTCTCCCGGCCCTAATCCTCTTGTGTGACCAGGGCCTCAGTGACTTTCAGTACCATCAATCATGGTCTCCTTCTGGATCATCTTTTGGGATTAGGGGTGGGAGGCGTTGTTTTGCAGTGGTTTCAGTCCTATGTCAAAGGTGGATTTCAGAGTATGGTGCTGAGAGAGTGCTTCTAGGCCCTTTGGTCTCTGGCCTATGGGGTCCCACAAGGTTCCGTCTTGTCCCCCATGTTTTTTAACGTCTACATGAAGCCTTTGGGAGAGGTCATCCAGTGATTTGGGATAAATTGTCACCAATATGTGGATGATACTCAGCTGTATCTTGCCATTACAGCAGATCCCCCGACATGATAATGTCACCAGGAGTGATGTCATCACACTGGGGATGTTGTGTGGGGTTGCTCTGCTTTGAGGGGGAAATTCTGTGGTAAAACTGGCTTAAAACCATGGAGTTTTGCCCTCAAACCAGAGCGTCCCTGGCATGATGACATAATTTCTGGTTGATGTCAACATGTTGGGGAAGTCACACAGGGATGTGGCTATTTGGGGGCAGGGATTCCCAACTTCAGTGTCAAGTTGTAGTAATCCTACTTGAATCTCTTCGGTCAGCAACTTCCTTTACCCTTTCTGTCTTGTCCTGTCCCTGCACCAGCACGTGTTTTCTATGCAGAAGTTTCTAAAGGTTTATCCCTGGCAACTCCATTTAATGGACACTTCAGGCAACAGGTGTTAGGAAAGACCTAATGTCTGAGACTCTGGCAAGCAGCAGCCTATCAGAATATGCAATACTAAACAAGATGGACCAGTAGTATGACACATGCTGTTGTTAAAGACACAGGACTAGGTCACACACTTATTTTCTGGCTAATTGGAAACACAATTCATGGGGGCACCAACTAGTAGTGGAACCCAATACAGGCACGTTACTCTGAAACATGTATTAGAAAAGTTGAGCTTTCTAGAGGCAAGAGTTACTGTTTGCCAACAAGGATAATAATCAGATTGCAGCAAAACAGTGCTTTAACAGGCACATTTGCTATGACAACATCATCATCTAGATAGAAGTATGAGATCCGATTGATCCACATGGGAGAAGGATTACAGTAAATGCCTTAAATCTATATACTAAAATCTGAGGATACTTACATCCAGTGACTGGAGCTGTGAATGGTCAAGACAGATCTTTCTACCAACCTGTAAAGGGCCCAAGGTTTGCAGGGAAATGTGTGTATAAAAAGGAGGAGAGGAGAATAATGTAAGCTGCTTTATTCCCGTGGAGAAAAATGGGGTATAAATGAAGTAAATAAATAATAAATATTGCTGAAGCAGATAAAAGGTAGGTTGGTGAATGGCTGAGAAGGAGAGAATGAGGCAGGGAAAGGGGAAAGGGTATGGGGGTTGCCTGCAGGAGGGAAAAAGAAGGGGAAATGAGATGCCTCCCGCAAGTCCTTGCAGTTTCCCCTTATTATATCTTAAATGCCAGTATTGAGGCATGAATAAAGATGTGCATCTGTATTACAAAAGTATTACTGGATCCTATGATTCATGTCCACTAACAGTCAGGGCCGGCTCCAGGCTTTTTTGCGCCCTAGGCGGAGCTACCTTCTGGCACACACCCCCGCGTGCCCACCAATTACGGGGGTTGCCAACCTCCAGGCAGGGCCTGGAGAGAAGGAACCCCATGGGTCTGTAAGACCAGACTTGGGAGGAGGAGGAAGGTTCTGGACAGGGTTTTCGCACCCTCCCACATCCCCAGCCCGCTCCACCAACCACAGAGTCTACCCGCCCGTCCCCTTCCCCCGCCCCCCGCTTTTCGCCAGCCTCTGGCTTTGGCCGGCCATCTGCAGGAGCCCGCTGCCCACCCCGCACCATGCCCAGCTGGCCGAGAAGGAGGAAGGAGCCCATTGCCGCCTGACTGGCCGGAAGGAGAATGGATGGGCCCCCGCCACTGTGATAGGGGGGCGGGCAGAGGCTCGGGGCAGTCGGG